GGTTGCCAATGTTTTTAGGCAAGAGATGGAAAGCTCGAGGAGTGTGTAACTCCTTTGAATTCTCCAATGTTTTTTGGGACTAGGTCAATGGGTTGATCTTTGACCATCATCCTCTCCGCCTCCTTCTTTCTTAGGACATTGCCATTTAACAATAACTCCTTTGTTAGCTTCATCATTATCCTTACATTCGCAAACTTCCTACCTCTTTTGGGCTTGACGTGGCTCAATGCCTTAATCTCCGCCGTGGGTTTGCTTGATTTAGTCACCGGCTCCTTCCCATGTAAGTTCTCTTCGTGTTTTCGATCCATCTTGACGTTGGTCATTCCTGTGTAAGAGCCATTCAAACATACCGCATGGTAAAAGACATTTTTGTTAACCTTATTGAAAAATATTATGTGATAAAGGAAGTCGATATCCACTCCGATCGTGGCTAGGAGGCTTCGTCCAAGTATCAAAGGCCTATCTTCGTTTATTTACAAGATGTGGAAATCAGTGGAGATGGCATAACTTCCTATTTGAAGTATCAAGTTGTGAACAACTCCTTTTAGAGCTTTCATGGAGGAGTCTCCAAACACCAAGGTCGTGTTAGATGGTGCGAACCTGCAAAGACCCAATCTTTTTGTAGCAAAGATAGACATAACATTGACATTGGATCATGAATCGTAAACAGAGGTAGGAAACTTATAACCTGCGATTTTACAAAAGAAGAGAAATTGTCTGGGGTCTCCTTCCTTGAGAAGTAGCTTGATTGGAGCCCTTAGTTTACTTGCTTTGTTTCCTCCTGGTCAAAGGTTGTTGATTTCGATTTCTCCCTCCGAGTCTGATGATAAAGACTCATCATCTAGTATAAAACAAGGGTGCGGTGCTAGAACTTCCTTAATGGCATTGCAGTAGCTCCTTGGGTTCTCTTCCAACTTCCCTAGAAGTACTCCATTCTGCCTCTAGACTGCATCCGTGATTTGTGCTACTTGTGTCTCGACTTTCGTTGATAGGGCTTGATTTGCTATCACTTGACTCAACATCGCCTCGAGCTTGCTGTCTTGGGATTGTCCTGCTGCTTGCTTGTGCACCTTTTGTCCGTGAAAACAATTAAAATGAGATTTTTGCTGGAAATTACTTCCGCCAAAGTTAGTATTTCTCCCAAAAGATGGCTACTGGAAATTGTTTCCGCTAAAAGTTCCTCCACGTCCATAAAAATTTCCTTGTTGTTGGGTTTTCTCTTGGGAAT